TAAGGTGAAATACCAAACAGACTCTGCTTCTGGCTCATGGAAGTAGCAGACTTTCCTCACCCTAAGCTCAGGTGAAGCGGTTAAGGGTTTTAAAAGTCACATGAAGAATGCAATTGACTTCTTAAGAAATCTCCAGGCCACAAAATGGAGATGTCAGGGGAGGTTCTGGGTGGAGAAGGGAAGGAGCAGATCACTCCCTCTTTGGGGTGCAGGAGGGGAAGGAGCAGAGTGAGGCTCAAGCAACCTCCCAGTGTAAGACCAGGCCGTAGTGCACTTGAACAGTGTGACAGCCACGGCAGCTCCGTGGCACAGAGGGATGCCATGGTAGCATACATTGATCAAGAAACCCATAACACTGTTGTCGGGCTCTTGGTTCAGAGGATCTCAGTTTCTTAGGCTGACTGCAGGATATATTCATCCTGCAAACGCTGTTTGTTCTTCTCATCACTTTGGTTCTCTGGCTCATGGAAGTAGCTGTTTGTTCTTCTCATCACTTTGGTTAAGAACTTAGCTGACATTATCCACCCTAACCTTTCTTGCATGGCAGCAAATTCTGTGTTGTTTCTCCAGGAGCAAAGGTGTGGTGTTGCTGCAGGAGCGAAGGAGACGAGCTTGTCCATGCAGGTGAGTGCCAGGACATACCCACACTACCTGGAAACAAAACCCTGGGGAGCAAGAAGAAAATACAGAGGTCTACCATGCATGAAGGCCATGGCACTATGACCAAAAAATTTCACCACTCCAGGAATTCCTGCTTCCGAGGGCCTCCAGCAAGATCTTTGTTATGTTTAACACTCCCATGCAGGTGTTCAGGACTCAGGCTCCCAGGGAACAGAGCTACTCTGGCAGTGGCCTTTTCCCAGCACTGATGAGGACAGCCTGGACTCTGCTGGATCCCCACCTCCCTAGGTTCTAAGACAAGCTGTTCTCCTATCCCTGCCCTTTCCAGCTGGGGTGCTGGCAGGAGAATGCTCTTCCCTCAAGGAACGCTTGGAAATGAGCATGGCCTGTGCTCTCACCTGTGGCCAGGCCCTTGGGGAGTGAGGAGACAATGTGGTTCATTTTGATATTCCTCCTCAGCAGCACAGGATCACCAAGGCCATGTTTATAAGGGGTCACATTGGTGCTGAGAGTCCTTTCAACAGACAAAAGCTGTCAGAGAAAAAGGTCTCCATGCCAGAAAGAAGACTGGAGCTAAAGGAGAGAGGCCAAGGCTCCTTCCCAGAGCAAATTCCTGTTGGAATAGGATTTGAAATCCAGGAAAGACACAAATAATGGTGCCCACAAGTGCATCAGCATGGGAATTCCCTATCCCTGTTTTTCAGGGATGATGGAGCTCTTTTCCAAGGCTGCTGAACTAGAAAGGATTATCTGAGGAAAGAGAAGTAACAAAATAGCAAACAGGCAGGACATATTGAGAGCAGCCCTGTGGAGAAAGACTTGGGGCTGATGGGTGATAAAAAACCCAAGAGGAGCTGCAGTGTAACAAAATACAGGCAGGACATATTGAGAGCAGCCCTGTGGAGAAAGACTTGGGGCTGATGGGTGATAAAAAACCCAAGAGGAGCTGCAGTGTACACTGGCAGCCTAGAAAGCCAAGCGAATCCTGGGCTGCATCCAAAGGAGTGTGGCCAGCATGTCGAGGGAGGGGGTTCTCTCCCTCTACTCTGCTCTTGTGAGACCCCACCTGGAGTACTACATATGGTTCCAGTGTTCCCAACATAAGGACATGGCACTGCTGATGGGTGATAAAAAACCCAAGAGGAGCTGCAGTGTACACTGGCAGCCTAGAAAGCCAAGCGAATCCTGGGCTGCATCCAAAGGAGTGTGGCCAGCATGTCGAGGGAGGGGGTTCTCTCCCTCTACTCTGCTCTTGTGAGACCCCACCTGGAGTACTACATATGGTTCCAGTGTTCCCAACATAAGGACATGGCACTGTTGGAGCAAGTCCAGAGGAGGTCATGAAGTTGATGAGGACTGGAGTCCCTCTCCTAAGGAGACAAGCTGAGCAAGTTGGGGCTGTTCAGCCTGGAGAAGAGATTTCATGGAGACCTCATAACAACCTTCCAGTGTCTGAAGGAGCCTACAGAGAAGCCATAGAGGGACTCTTGGTTAGGAACTGTAGTGATAGGACAAAGAGTAGTGGGTATGAATTTAAAGAAGGGAATTTAGGTTAAATATTGGGAAGCAATTTATCCCTGTAAGGGTGATGAGACACTGGAACAGGTTGCCCAGGGAGATAGTGGATGCCCCAACCCTGGAAGTCTTCAAAGCCAGGTTGGATAAAGCCTTGAGCAACCTGGTCCAGGGAGATATATTGCTGCCCAAGGCAGGGGGGATTGGGACTAGATGATCTTTAAGATCCCTTCTGAAATTTAACGTTCTATAATTCTATGAGAGAACTGAGTCTGAGTTTCCCTGCATAAAGACAGAAAGCAAAAATAAAACCATTTCCAGATTCCCCCTTCAAAGAATGGTTTAAGTCCTCCGAGGTGAGGAAGGAGATAGGAAGGAACACTTAAACACACTGAGAAGAGACCCTCAGGAAGAGATTTTGAAACAGATGTTTTGAGCATCCTCAGGACAGATGCACAAGGACAGTACTTATATGGGGAATAGCTTTTGTGCTCCGTGACACTGTACACTTGCATGGTGAAGTGTTCTCTGCAGGTGGTCAAGGCTCCTCTTCTCTCCACCATCTTTGCAGAGAGCGTGTACTGTGTACTGTGAATTCTCTCATTCCCTGATACTTGTTAAGGTTCACACCTTGACATTCTGTTACAATCTCTTCCTTCCCCACCCCCGACCTGTTTCTACTCCTCCACTCTTGGTGGCATGTTGGGAGTGAAGCTGGGCTGTGCACACCCTGTGTGTCTCTGCCCATAACAGGACACCTGATGCTCACCTGCTCAGCTCATGGGCAGTTCAGGAGGGAGTCCATGAGGTGGGGGCAGATGAGGGCACTGGAAGCATGCAGGAGTCCCTGCAGACAGTCCAGGGACCTTCCCCAGGGCAGACACAGGGCCCGTGTTCATCCCAGGTGCCATTAATCTAGGCTGAGGCCCCATGAGCATTCTACAGTCCACAGCCCAAGGGGGAGGTGAGGGATGTGCCAACACACCTTCCTCATGACAAAGAGTGTTGTCTCCCATGACTCACAGATGTGTCTGGAGAGATGGAGTGGGAGGATTCCTATCCTCCCTGCTGCCCAGCAGGCCTCTCCAGAGCCTCAGGAAGGCACACACAGACTGGGTGCTTTCCTGAGGCTTGGATTTGGAGAACTGCATTTGGGCCCCTATATGAGTGGATTTATGGGATTGTTCCCCAAGATCACAGTACTAGAAAGAATTGTCTGAGGAAAGAGAAGTCTCTTGTGCTGCAGATCATTTAGTGACCAGGCAGGACATTGAAGGGAACCAAAATAAGGATCTCATTTGGAGTAGCAACACCTGAGAATGGAACTCACCTGTGAGATCAACCTTGTCTTCCTCTTGGTGATCAATATGAAGATGACATTCCGTGAGCAGAGACAGGAGGTGTCTTTGAGCACAAGCACCTGTGGAGAATATCTCTCTCTCAAGGAGCTGCTGCTGGGAAGGGGAAGGAGGCAGCTGGCACACAGACTCCAGTGTGCCAGGAACAATGCAGACAAACCCCTTGGGTAGCTCAAGCCAGTGTGAGCTTAGAATTCAGTCTCTGGATCACTTTTCAAAGATGAATAGAGAAATCACCAATTAGAGGTTGAAAATTTGCACTGAGTTGCTTGTTCCCTCCCTCTTAAAAGGCAGAAGGCAAAGTGTAAACCTTTTCCAGATTGTACCTTCAATGCAAAATTGAATTCCTGTTAGTAAGGATTCCTAAGGGGGAACGAGGAACATAGAATATCACTCACAGAAAAGCTCCAAGAAGAGACTTTAAAACAGTGAATTTGAGCAACCTCAGGGCACATGGATGTTCTCTGCTTCAAGGCAGCAATGTCATTGTCCCAGTGACATATTTATGTTTTCACAGGCAGGACAGAGGAGACAAAAACCACCAGGTTCGTGGAATCCAGGCCGGAAAAGGACTTCCAGCAGCTATCCCAACGAGTTGAAACTCTGCAGCAAGATTTCAAGAACAGCCAGGAGTCCATACAGCATGACCTTCAGAGCCTCAGAGCAGAGCTGAAGAACCAGCAAGGTGAGGAGGCCCATTCTCAATCAAGCCTTCATATCTCTGAAGGCAAAAGGTGCTTTACAGGCAAAATGTCCTGTGCACTAGTCTTTCACAGCTCCTCAAAGTGGGTGAAGAAAGACAGCCCTTACAGGGGAATAGCTTTTGGGATCCTTGACACTGAAAGACCTGCTTGCTGAAGGGTTATCTGCAGGTGGGCAAAGCCCCTTTACTCTCCCTCGTCTTTGAAGAGAGTGTGTGCTGTGAGCTCTCTCATTCCCTGATACTTGTTAAGGTTTCCAGCTGGAAATCTGCTACCATCACTCTCCCTTTCTCTTTCTCCTATTCCTGAAATTCTGGTATTGCATTGTGGGCAAAGCCAGGCTGTGCACACCCTGTGTGTCAGGGCCCATGATGAGAGCCCTCTCTGTGCTCACCTGTTTGGCTCAGGGGCATCTCAGAGGGGAATACATGAAGTGGGGTTAGGCAAGGCCACTGGCAGCATCCTGCACTCACTGCAGGAAGCCCAGAGATCCTCCCCTGGGCTGGTAGAGGGCCCATGTTGTGAGCTCTCTCTGTCTCTGATATGCCATAATGGACCTACTACCATTTCTCTCCCTTTCCCCACTCCCCTTGCTCATGACAAAGACCATTGTCTCCCATGACTCACAGATGTGTCTGGAGAGATGGAGTGGGATGATTCCTATCCTCCCTGCTGCCCAGCAGACCTTTGTCAGCCTTCAGAAAGAGTCTCACAGGGCCTGTGCTGTTTCCCCATCTCTCCTTCAGTCAATCCATCCAAACCAATTCAAAGGAGCTGATAAGGAATAATCCCAGGCACCAGTCCATGCTCAGGGCTGCCCTGCTGGGAAGTAGCTCTGCACAGTTCCTGGTGTACAACTTGTACAGGAGGCAGCAATGTGCCCTTGTGGACAGGAAGGCCAGTGGTGTCATGGGGTGCATTAGGAAGTGCATTGCCTGCAGGTTCAGAGAGAAGAAACCCTGGTGAAACACCTCAGGATTTCTGTGTTGAGTTCAGGGAGTACTGAGGAGTAGAAGAAAATCATGGGGATCCTGGAGCAAGTCCAGCTGAGGGCTGCAAAGCTTTTGAGGAGACTGGAGCACTCCTCTTGTGAGGAGAGTCTTAGGGACATATTCAAAAGCCACCTGGACACAATCCTGAGAAAGGGTCTGCAGCAGAGCCTGCTTGAGCAGGGAGGTTGGACTAGATGACCTTCAGTGGTCCCTTTCAATGTTACCCATTCTGTGTTTCTGTGATGCTGTGAAAGTGGGAGGAGTATTTTGCCTCTCTTTCCAGAGCCCATGTGCCCATTACCCTTGGGAGATGGCCATGTCAGGGAGGGAAGGATCATAGGAGTACAGTGGTTCAATGTTACCCATTCTGTGTTTCTGTGATGCTGTGAAAGTGGGAGGAGTATTTTGCCTCTCTTTCCAGAGCCCATGTGCCCATTACCCTTGGGAGATGGCCATGTCAGGGAGGGAAGGATCATAGGAGTAGCCAAGCCCCAGAGAAAGAGCTAAAGGGAGGAATTTTGGTCTCAGGCCTTGGGCAAGCCCTGCTCTCCTTCAATGTTACCCATTCTGTGTTTCTGTGATGCTGTGAAAGTGGGAGGAGTATTTTGCCTCTCTTTCCAGAGCCCATGTGCCCATTACCCTTGGGAGATGGCCATGTCAGGGAGGGAAGGATCATAGGAGTAGCCAAGCCCCAGAGAAAGAGCTAAAGGGAGGAATTTTGGTCTCAGGCCTTGGGCAAGCCCTGCTCTCCTTCCACTGGGTCAGGCTTACCCAATCAGCCCTGGTGTGGCTTCTGTCCTGCCAACACTAACTTGCCATGGACAATGTTCCTTTCCTGGAAAAAACAGCTCAGGACTTGGATCATTCGTATTCCACTGTGCTCCGGGATAGGGCTTGTTAAGTAGTGAAAGGAGAACAGAGACTTCTTGGTCTTTTCTAAGAGGGAAGGCTCTGTGTCATTACTGGAACAAGGCCTCACCTCAGGGCAGGCAAGACTCTTGTCCCAGTAATGCTGGTCATTCCTCACAGGAAGGACAATGGAGCCTGCCAAGTGTCTCTAGGGGTAACTGGGGCACCTTTCTTCCCTGGTAGGTCCTTCTCTGTGAAAGTCCACCTCCTTTTTAGTCCATGCTCTGCCATTCCTCTGACTTCTCTCTCCCATCTGAAAGGAAGGAGAGGCCAAACTTATCTCATAGTAACTTTTAATCCTTGTTGGACTTTAGAGGGAGTGAGTTGGAGTCACATGTCCCATATTTGGGAAAGAAAAATATCACACACCCTGATTTACTCGTTTTTCTTGAAGACATGAGAAACAGAACTGTTAAGGCAAGAGCGAGTGCATGTAGTGGGGAAGTAGAGGAGTGTGAGGGTGGTCTCAGTGTCACTTAAAGCAGAGAGTTGGTATACTCTGTTTGAATCCCCCTTCATTAGGGGATACACCTTGAAAATGTTCAGAAGGTGGAAATGATAATGGACAATGAGCAGATTTTAAGGCACTCTGGAAGTGTGCACTGGGGAAGAGTCAATTGCCACCTGGAGATGCTCAAGCAGCAGCTGGGCTGTGGTGAGGAAGGTGCATCCTGACATGCAGATGGGAACAGTGCAGAGCCCTGCAGCTACAGCTCTTCCCACTGCATGGCAAACTGGAGAGGTGTCCTTCAGGGAAATTCATCTTCCTTGTCCCCTATCCCTTCTCCTCTGTGACCACCATGCCATCTGCTTTCTTCTCCTTAACAATTCCTGCCAACATTTCACAGTTGGTTAGACTTCTTCCTGCAATGCCTCAGGCTTTGCTTTTTGGAGAATGGCATGGGGTTCTTGAAGTGTTTCCCAAATTAGAGAACAAATGTGTTAGTCCAGGAAAACAAAGCCCTTTTTTCCAGAACCTTGGGTTGTGCCTTACCATGCTGGGGCCCAGCAAGCCTTGACAAATCCACTTATTGCCTTTTTTCTTTTCCCAGTGATGTCGGAAGTACATCGCTACAAAAGTAAGCATAAGGAAGACTATAGAGGTGAGTACTGAGAGCCTGAGTGCAGCTCTGGAAAACACATTCAACCCACTCAGAGAGCTGTTGGGAGAAAAACAAGTTAAGAGGAAAGGATGTTTCATGACTCTTCTCAGTGCCATGTGTTGTCAAAGGCCCTGACCATGCTTGTCAGGATCCACCTCAGCTATGGGGAGCAGGGGCATCTGCATGCACTGCTCACTGCAGACACTGTCTCCCACTCCTGCTTCGGCCTCTTTGGCCTTTCAGAAAAAGTATCAGGAGATGATCTTGCTCCACTGGTGGAGCAGCTCCTTTAAATCTGAGCTGAGCTAGAGGATCTCAGTTCATGACATTGCACCTTGCTCGAGTCCTGCCAGGGCTTCATCCCATCCACTGATGAGTGTGGAAAGCTGAGATAAGAAACATTTCCTCATCATTGTGGCAGTGAAGATCACTCTTCCACTCTAATCCATGTAGAAGTAATGCCCTAGACTGGTTCTGTCCTTTTATTGAGGAGAAACTACTTACAGCTTGACAATCCCCTTCAGACTTGGCTAAGGAGTAATTCATTACACCCAAACCTAATTCCAGCTTCTGTCAACTCCTGGTTCTTTCCCTTAAGCCACCCCCACAGCACTCCAAAGATGGAGGGAGAGGGTGTTCACCTGCACAGGCTCCTCCTTGGTGCTGCATGCTGGAGTCCCAGAAGCACTGGATGAGTGCTTTGCATTTGGTGTGTGCAGGCTGCCCACTCTCTCAGCCAGCAGCTGTAGCAGGTTGACCCTGACTGGGTGCCAGCCAGCCAGCAATGCTGCTCTATCACTCTTCTCTGCCAATGGACAGGGAAGAGAAAATATAACAAAAGGTTAATGAGTTGAGATCAGGACAGGGAGAGATCACTCATCAAATATCATTACAGGCAAAACGGACTCAACTTGGGCAAATTAAGTGACTTTATTGCTAAAAAGATTAGAACAGGATAATGAGAAATAGGACAGACTTAAAACCACATTCCCCCACCCCACCCTCCTTCACAACTCTGCTTCCTGCCCCTCAATGGCACAGGGAGACAGGAGTGGGGGCTATGGTCTGTTCATCACATGTTGTTTCTGCTGCTGCTCAGGGACAGGAGTCCTTCCCCTGCTTCAGCATGGGGTCCCTCCCATGGACTACAGCTCTCCATGAACTGCTGCAGCATGTGCCACTTTCCACGGGGTGCAGTCTAGTCTCTCAGGAACAGCTCCAGCACAGGTCCCCTGTGGGATCACAACTCCTGCCAGGAACTCTGCTCCAATGTGGGTCTCCTCTCTCCATGGGTCTGCAGGTCTCTTCCAGGAGCTACTTCAGCCCAGGCTTCCCAGGGCATCACAGCCTCCTTTTGGGCATCCACCTGCTCCTGCATGGCTCTCCCCCATGGGCTGCAGGTGGATCTCTGCTGCTGTTGATCTCCATGGGCTGCAGGGCACAGCTGCTTCACCATGGTCCTCACAACAGGCTGCAGAGGAATCTCAGCAGCAGTGCCTGAAGTACCTCCTCCCCCTACTTCTCCAGTGATCTTGGTGTCTGCATTGTTCCTCTCACATATTCTCACTCCTCTCTTATCTGGCTTCAAATTACTGCTGCACAATACCATTTTTCCTTTATAAATCTGTTATCACAGAGGCCTTACTACCACCACTCATTGGCTAGGCCTTGTCGCAGCGGTGTCACCATCCTGGAGTCACTGGCATTGGCTCTGACAGACATGGGGAAACTTCTAGCTGCTTCTCACAGAAGTCACCCCTGCCACTGCCAATAACTAGACCGTGCAAGTTTACTTCAGCAGCCCAAGGAAAGGACATGGTGGGATGGGAGAAGCTCAAGGCACCCTGAGGAAAGAGGCAGCCGAGTGCACCTGTGCGTGGAGGTGGGGGCAGTACAGATGAGAGGAGCATGAGGGCATAGAAAAGAGAGGATCAGCAAAGCAGAGCTTGTGTTTTCTGCTCCTTATGGCATGACTTGACCATTGCAGGGGATGTCACCCTGGATGCTGACACAGCTCATCCCAGATTGGAAATCTCTGCAGATGGGAAGAGAGTGAAAGATACTGGTGTCATCAGAGACTTGCCCAGCAATGAGAAGAGATTTGATTCCCATATGTTTGTGTTGGCAAAGGAAGGATACATATCTGGAAAATGCTACTGGGAAGTAGATGTTCAGAGAAGAAGAAGCTGGGCCTTGGGTGTTGCCAGGGAATCTGTGACCCGCAAGGGGCCGTTGACTCTGTCCCCTCAGAATGGCTTCTGGGTCATTGGGTGTGCAGATGGGAGAGAATATTGGGCCTACACAGATCGTTGGACCCATCTGAGTGTGAGTGGGCAGCTGAAATTCGTTGGGATCTTCCTGGACATCCCAGCCAAGCAGGTGTCTTTTTATGATTTCCTTAATGGAGAATCTCTATACACTTTTAACATTGCTGATGGCAGCAACCAGGAAGGGAAATTCATTCCCTTCTTCTCTACAGGTCCTGCTGCTGTAGAGCCTGACCCTGAGCCTCTGGTAATAGTGTAGTTTTGTTATGCTGATGAAGAGTTCACTCTGCATTTCAAAGGTCAACAATATACAGCCAGTGATCAAAGCACATTGTGATCATGCTGCTTCCTAATTTGTGTCTCCTGAACAAAGCTGATGAAGAAGAGGATAGATCTGTCATAGTAGCCAGGTCTGGAATTTTGTACATTTTTTAACAGAATGATTTTTTTTTGATGAGGAATTTAATGTGCTCAAGGCAAAGAAAAGTTCCTGTTTGTATGAAAAGAACATGCTCTTGAGGACTGTGAGTTTTCCTAAAAAAATACTCTCCTTTTCCTGACAGCCTGTGATTTTTCATTTTGTTGAGGAGAGACAGTGATAGAGAGGCTTTGTGGGCACCTAGCAGCCAGTCAAGATCAACCCTCACATGTCCCATGGCTTTTGAATATCTCCAAGGAGGGCCTACACATCATCTCTGGTCATCCTCAAAGTAATAAAGTTTCTCCTGATGATCCAAGGGAACCTCCTGTTTTTGCCCATTGCCTGGTGTCCTGTCACTGGCACCTCTGAGAAAAGCATCCTTCAGGTACTGCTATACATTGCTGACACCCATTCAAGCCTTCTCCTCTCCAGATTGAATAGTCCCCACTCTCTCACCCTTTCCTCACATGAGAAAGGCCTCAATCACTTTATCATATGAGTGGGCCCTTCCTGGACACTCTCCAGTGTGTCCATGTGTGTTTTGTACTGGGGAGTACAGCCAGCAGGTGTGGCCTCTCCAGTGCTGAGGAGAAGGGAAAGATCACCTCTCCCATCTTGTTGCCTCTCTCCTCCTAATATTGCTTGGGTGTCAGGGACTGCAACAAAAGTTGTCTGGCTCAAAGCACTCAGTTGGGAAAATCGTGGGGGGAGCAGGTTGAGGTCTGCGTAGGTGGGGCGGCGTCATGCTCCCCCCAGCCCCTCGAGCCTCAGCAGGTAACTGCAGGTCTGCACTGGAATGGCCTCGGTGTCCACATGGCTCTGATGTGAGCCCTGAGATGGTGGTGGTCAACCACGTGGCCTTGCTGCAAGCCCCGAGATGGATGCTGAAGCTCCTGGCTCTGCCTAAAGTGCAGGCTCGAGTGTGACCTCCCACTAGGACGGGTCTTGGACAATGGGAATGGATAAAGGGACAGTGAGACATGTGCCTCATGGTGTGCCCTATGGCCCTGGCTTGGAAGCTGATGAGACCACATTGGATCCACGGGTGGTGACTATCTGCCTCTCTTTATCATCTATTTTCCTCTCATGTATTTTTCTCCTTTTTGCTCTTCTTTTCTCCTTTGCAGCATACTAAGTTAGAAGCTGCACTGAGCAGTATCTCCTTAATTAGTCGATAAATGCTGTAATCAGTGCCCACTAAGGGCTTTGTTCTCTCAAGGTATGCTAATTTAAAGTTTGCCCTGAATGTTTAAATGCTATAAAGTTGTGCTGGTTTGAGCTGAAGCAGAGTTAACTTTCTTCACAGCAGCTAGTATGGGGCTATGTTTGGGTTTTGTGCAGAACACAGAGTTGATAATGCAGAGATGTTTTTGTTGTTGCTGAGCAGAGCTCACACAGAGCCAAGGCCTTTGCTGCTTTCCACACTGCCACACTGGCAAGGGAGTTGGGGATGCATGGGAGACTGGGAGGAGACACAGCTGGGACAGGTGACCCAAACTGACCAAAGGGATATTCCATACCATATGACTGGGCTCAGTATATAAAGTGGGAGAAAGAAGGAAGAAGGGGGAACATCAGGAGTGATGGCATTTGTCTTCCCAAGGAACCGTTACGCGTGATGGGCCCTGCTCTCCTGGAGATGCTGAACACCTCCTGTCTGTGGGAAGCAGTAAATTAATTCCTTGTTTTGCTTTGCTTGTGTGTGCAGCTTTTGCTTTGTCTATTAAACTGTCTTTATCTCAACCCATGAGTTTTTGTAGCTTTTACCCTTCTGATTCGCTCTCAGATCACGCTGGTGGGGGAGTGTGTGAGCGGCTGCTGGTTCTTGGCTGCTGCCTGGGGTTAAACCACGACAGAAGTTTAGTGATTTTCCTTTTGCTGACTGTCTTATTCCACACAGGTGACCCAAAGTTCCTAAGTACAAATTGTTTCTTTTTAAACCTCCTGAGAACTGAGGGTTTTTTTCTCCTGCACACTGCCCAGGGTTATTCAAATTACCTTCCCCTCAACCTGTTGAGCCGTCGGGGGCATTACAGTGGGACACCAGTTTCTCTTTGCAGTAAGAGCATATTCCTCAACTTGGAGCCCACCACAACCCTTAGGTCCTTTTCTATCCAGATGTTTCGCAGTTGGGTGTCCCAGCATGTGCTGGTGCCTGAGCTTGTTCCTCCCCAGGTACAGGAATTTGCCCTTCACCTTGTTTAATGCAGCCCATTTTTCTCCAGACTGTTCAGGAACATTGGGATGACAGCAGGACCCTCCAGCATGAGCCACGCCTGCCAGTTTGGGATGATCATCCTACATGCTGAGGGAACTCTCCACACTATAACTGAAATTTCTAATGAAAATGTCAAACAGGACAGAATGAGTATTGACCTCTGGACTACACTGCTAGTTTCTGCCTCCACATGTCCAGGACTGTGCACTGGTGCAATCCACTGTGCACTGGTTTCTGCTAGAGCCTTGTACTCCTGTGGGGGTAACGTGTCAGGCCATCAGGTCTGTGCAGTCATGTAAACCCAGTTGTCCCTCTCCTCCCTATTTACCCACCAGACAATGTAAATACATGTGCAAGTACCAGATATTCTTTTGGCTCAACCCATGCAGATTACATTTATGATGTGTGTGGAAAGGGCTGGGCCTGGTGGAAGGGTTGATTGTGGCCAGGTTGGCATTGACAGGGCTCAGGGGGAGGTGCTGCCCTTCTAAGCCATGTTCTGGCAATTCCCCACATGAACTGGTGAAGATGAGTGAGGGGTCAGCACGAGGCAGGTTCACTGTGATGGGGACAGAATAGCTGCAAGCTGCAGGGATGGGTGGGAATGGGATTGGGAATGGAAAGGTGGAGAATGTGGACAGAGGAGGAGCTGGAGGAGCAGCCTCAAGGCTCCTGTCCCAGCCCTTCCCCAGCACAGCAAAGCCCAAATAAGCCAAATTTGACACACCTGCCCCATTTGCCTAGCACAGAAACTCTCTGCCAGAGAGAAAAGGCTGTGTGGGCGATTCTCCGTGAGCACTTGCCAAGATGCAGCACTACCAGAGCTGGCTGTGGGAGTGCCTCACCAGGGTATATGCTGCAGTGCTGATCAGTTCTTGCACGTGGGGCTTGTGAGGGAATATGAAATCCTGTTATTTCAGCTGCTGGCAGCAGCCCTGCACAAGGCTCAGGCTCAGGGCTGCAGGAGTGCTGCAGGGAACTGGGCCCTCTGTACAACCAGCCTGGATTAACAAGGCAGCAGAAATAATAGCAAATTGGGGTCAATAATGTGTTTCCAATTAATTTCACACAGTGTATTGGAGTTTTTCCCCACTTGTAAAGGGACCAATTTTTACATCGGACATTTAGGCATGAACCATTTTCCCATGGAAAATATTTCCAGAAGGCAACTAGGAAAAATAATTTACTTTTTATGAAGAGTATGTTTTTTCTGCAAGTGCTTCTACTGGGTTTGTGTGGGAACAACCCTCTAGGATTCCCCAGCCCAAGACAACAATACAGACCCTGACATGCATATGCCATCATGGGGGGAGCCTGACCCATGGTTTGGCACCAAACCTGTGCCACAACTCACCATGTTACATACAACATGGGCTATGATAGACGCCAGTGGAGGGCAAAAAGCACAAAGTGAGCCCTTGTTTCCAGCTCTGGGATGGACAAGGCCCACCCTGACTTTATAGAGCAGATCCCCTGGTGTCTGGACTGAATCTCCTGCCCTGTTTCCTTCTAGTCCCATCCACTCCTGGCAGCAGAACAAGCTGCTCTTCTGTCTGTGGATGGGGAGCAGGGATAGGTCTTTGTCTGCATTTCCTCCAACCCATGGCATTTCCTCTATTTGCCCAACCAGCAGAGCTTGATGTGTCTGTATCTGCCCACATGGGAAACCCAAGTCACCATGCAAACAGACTGAGGCACAGGGATGGTGGGGAGATAACCCCTGTCCCTCACCCACAGCCCCACTGGCTGCAGCCTGAGGTTTCAGAGCTGGCAAGGAGAAATTTTGCCCACTGGCACCCATCATCATGGTCTCACATCCTCAGCTGCTGCAATCTGCATTGATGCAGAAACCATGGAGAAGTGAAACCAGAGAGGGGGAAAACCACCAAGGCCAGGGGGAGCTGGATTGCAGCCTGGGGCCAGAATGTGTAGGGTCAGACTGTGCCAGCACATGGACTTGGTCACCTTGAGCACTGGCATACTGTCACCTTGCTGCTGCAGGCAGAGGCTGGGCCATGCATGCAAGGCAGAAGCAGGAAGCAATGGTGTGGGGAGAAATCTGCCCCTGTTCAATGGGCAGTTGTTTTGCCTATCCTGCTGGGACATGAATTGCTGGAATTGCATGTGGAATTGGGAAAGGTCCTGCATGGCAGCACAGTCAGGGGAGGGGATGGAGGTCATGAAAAGTGGGTTATGGCAGGTCCCTGCAACTCAGTGCAGCTACTGAGGCCATGCTGCAGCCAGATGATGGGCTCATGGTTTCTGGTGGTGCTGAAGGGAAAAAAGGACACAAGATGGGGATCCCCACAGATAGAGGAGTCCATGGGTCACCCAGAGAGAGGAGGTGATACTCACACTGTATTTCATCATAGAGGGTTGCTTCAGCCTCATGGCTTGGAACATGCTGCCTTGAAAGAGTTGGGGGAGAGGGTTTTGAGGTCTGTGTTCAGACTGTGATGAATCCATTGGGATCATTGCCATGGGTGATGTCGTCTTGCATCACATCCATGGTTAGAGTTCAGCCCAGGGCAAATCCTGCTTCTCCCTGCATGTACCGGGGGGGACTCCATCCACGGGCACAGACCATGCTGGCCCTGACCAAGAACCCCCACAGGATGCC